GGATTTTAAACGGAATATATATATAAAATAAAGCCATCTCCACAACTAGAATTCCCGGATTCCAGGTTTGAAGGGTTTTCCAGGTGGATCTTGGGTGGGGGGCGAGCATATATATATATATGTATATACATTATACATATATATATATATGTGAGGTTTCTCACTCCTCATTGAACCGTTCCTAGAAAGCACGCCCTATCACTTTTTCTTGTAAACAAGGATACCTCCCCTCGCGCTCGGAGAAGTGGTTGAGTTTAGAATACCGTTGTTCCCGCATCATTTCTTACCCAAAAGGGCTCACGCATTTCAGAACCAGCTACATGAAGTGCAACTTAAGAGTGCAGAAAGGAAGTTCCAGCCAGGCTCTTGGTTTGAACAGGACAAGAGACTTTGTGTAACGTGTTGTGTAGGACGATGGATGGACGTGATCTTGCCCTATTTATGACATCCAAATAGCTGTATACTTCCTAGGGTACAGCGTTGAAATTGTGTCGCGAGCTTTTCGCCACCCTAAACCCAAACCCTAAATAGTAGTTGCTATTTTCTTTTCCATTATCCCAATATAACTTCTATATAATCCCTATACATCCCCTCTGTAAACCCCACATAATCCCTATCTTGCCCCTATATAACCCCTCTGGTGGGAGACGACTTGAGCCTGGACAAACAAGCCCTGCAGGTTGGCGGCATGATTCCGCCGGTCGCTGACCTTGGTGACCTTTCAGGCGCACTTAGGTATTATATCGGGTTATTTAGGAGTATGATATAGGGGCTATATAGGGGTTATACAGGGGTGTAGTATAGGGGTATACTGTAGAGATTATATAGGGATAATGGAAAAGAAAAACAAAACTGCCTTTTTAGGTCGTTCTGCATGGAGATTGATAGAGCAAGCTTCAACACCATGGTAACATATACACATCAGGCATGTATGTATACATATTATGTAGAGATATGGAAATACGAATAGACACAGTTGCAGAAGCACAGATGCTGTACGTGCCTACCTGATTGTGACGTCTGTGACCAGGCCTGGAAGCTGGAATGCAGAAGCCGGTACGCCCTCCCCACTCTTCTTCTGCGACAGTTTCCCCCTCGTATGTGCTCCAACCAAGCGTCATGCGCTTGCAGGTGTCGATGATTGACAATGGTCGCTTCAACGGTGCGAAGGCGTACAAGGACAGTAAGGCCCCTCTTCGGATTGTTTTTGGAGAGCCTTCTCGAAGGCAATGCTTGGCCCTGCCACTAGGTCTGCGACGTCATGTTGATGAGGGAGCTGCACAAGAGGTATCATGAGAAGACGGGCGTGTGCTTTTCGTCTCTCTACCCAGGCAGAAAGTCGCAAGGCCCACTTCTTTGGGACATCTAGCTGCATGCGTGCTGGCAGGCTGCATTGCTGAGACAAATCTTTTCCGGGAGCACTATCCAGTTTTCAGGCCGAGTAGCTCAATACCATTGAATTGGCTCAGATTTCAGCAATTCGGAAACAGCTCAATTGACAAAGGTTTTTGTTTCCCATCCTGCAGAAGGAGGTCACAAACGCGTGCCCCAAGCGCCTACATGCCGTAGGCTAGGCAGCGGGTGCCAGGCACAGAAGCGCTTTGTTGCTTGTCGTTTTCCAGGTACGTGAGTGAAACAGAGGCAGGAAGAAGACTGGCTAAATGCGTGGCCGACCCTGCTTACGCTCAATCAGGCCTGCCTCAAGCAGATTTGCTAAGGTGGTTTTGGCGAGGTACTTCTGTTTCTTTGTACTGCTAGGCAGCTGCCGGCTTCTGATTTATGCCAGTAGCAGCTTGTGTCCAACACCTTGCTCAAGTGCCAAGCAGGTGTGTACTTCAGCTGGGGTGGTGAGTCCCCAGCTCGGCTGCAAACCTGTGCTGTCTTTGAAGTCACAGAAGCAGATGCTTAGGGTTTAGGGTTTAGGGTTTAGCATACGCAGCCCGAACCCATGGATGACTTTCAGGTCCGGGACTGGCGGTGCAGGAGGTACAGACGCGGTGGAAAACATGGACGCCAGCAACGACAAGTTCTTGCAGTGACCACCACCTGTACGGGCAGCAATGCACATAATAGTAGTAGTAATAATAATAATAGTAAAAATAATAGTAATAGTAATAGTAATAGTAATAGTAATAGAATTGGAGATGTTCTTTGAGACGGTCTTGCAGCTCGCTGCTTCAAGGTACGGCAGCTTCCGGACGTTGAAGGAAAACGAAATCGGTGGAGAAGCCGGGGATGATGATAGGTGTAGGAGGCCAGGCTCTCTTTCATATTCTTATTCACGCGGCGTGTGGGTAAAATCCCTATGTACCACCTATACAATCCCTAGACAGTCCCTATAATCCCTATACAGCCCCTATATAAGTCCTTTACAATTCATCCGTCCATCCAATTCATCCAAGCTGCCAGGCTGTGGAACCTCAGCGAGAAGTTGGTCGGTCAGAATTTCGCATGAGCACGGGCCCAAGGCAGCACTTCATTCCTATGTATAGAATCGATGTGTTCATGAGAGTCCCTGACCAGTGAGTCCTTCACCAGGCGTGGACCCTCACCGTGCACGCGTAATTTGGATAATTAATCGGCCTCGAGCTTATTTGAGACAGCTTGGGCTCAAGACATGCAGGGTCCCGTGATAAATCCTGGCCCTAGGGGTCCCTGTGGCTCACTGGCAAGAACCACTGGACCTCTAGGCCACGAGAGACTACTTCCGCCATCATCTCCGCCCCATGCTGCGCTGGCCTATGCCAGTCTTGCAGTAGGAGCATCCGCGGCTCGCGCGGCAACATCCAGGCGCGAGGCCAAGCCACGGAGACGCGTCGTGTGCGCAGCATCCCGTGGGAAGACCTCGCGCACGGGAGCCAAGCGTGGATTACACTCAGCGGGGTCGGTGCTAAGCACTGGAACCGTGACGGTGAGCGATGGTTTTGAGTTGTATTACGAGGAGCATGGCAGCTCCAAAGGGATTCCCGTAGTTTTTCTACACGGAGGGCCGGGCGCAGGCAGCTCGCGCCGAATGGCGCAGTTGTTTGATTCTCAGAAGTACCGTATACTCCTGTTCGACCAGCGCGGTTGTGGCAAGAGTTCAAAGAAAGACTCCAGCAACGCGGAGGACCAGCTTGAGGGAAACACTACCTGGCATTTAGTCGAGGATCTCGAAGTTCTTCGTGCTCATTTGAAGATCGACCGCTGGGTGGTCTGTGGTGGTTCCTGGGGAACCTGCCTGGCCCTGGCGTATGCCTCCAAGCACCCGCAGAATGTCCTGGGCATGGTCCTTCGTGCTGCCGTTCGCCTAGTTTTTGCTTCGCCTGTGTTTTGTTTCGGTGCAACTGCCCTCTGAACTAATTACTAACTGCCTTGAAGCCTGGTGTGAGGGTGTGACGTGTCCCAGGTCTTCCTCTTCCGGAACGAGGAGCTCGAGTATTTCTGCGGCCCGGAAGGGGACGCCCGATCCAAATCCAGAGGAGCCTGGGACAGGTTTGCAGGCTGGTTGCCCTGGGCGAAGACACGATCTGCACGCACAATTGCTTCAGCATTCCGCAGAGCTGCTCTGGGAGAGGACTCGTGGCTCAGTGGCACCGGGATGCATTTACTGTGGCAAGTCTGTAAATTTTTGTGATTGTCGCAGTTGATGAAGAAGTCTGTAGGTCAAGAAATCCAGAGAAGTTACTGTAGTTGACACAGCACTCTCTTACGTGAATGGTGCATATAGAAAGGAAGAGATCATGAAGGGCCTGCTTCTGTTTTGCCTCGTGTCCGAAAGCACGGGTACAGGTCCATCTCGCCATCTGATGCGCTGTCAAAATGGCGGGCCTGGGAAAACCATCTCTTCTCGCAGCGTGCAACTGATTTGCGGCTCAAAGCTTCGAGCTTGCAATCGGACCTACCTGCGGCGACACCTCCGAAAGCACCATGGCCAAAAGCGAGTAAGTTCAATGTACAGGCCTTGCTCACGCTGCATTACGTGGCCGAGAGAGGCTTCTTTCCTGAAGGCAGTGAGTTGCTAGACTCAGCTGTGTCCTTCAATTTTCCGTTGAAACTTGTTCATGGCAGGAATGATTGCATCTGTCCAGTGGCCAACGCAAAGGACCTTGCGAGGGCAGTTGGCCCTGAGGCTGAGTTGTTGCTCACCGATGGTGGCCACTCGCAGTGGGATTCAGAGAATATCGATGCGTTTGTTCGTGCCACTGATCAGGTGGCTTCTGAGTGTTTGGTTTCTTCGTGAGCTTGCTCACCCTTCAATCATGATGCCATGACACAGAAGTGCATGGCACATCGAAGTTTCATCGCGAGCCAGCTGGCACTGGACGGCAGCGGAAACCTGATCCAAATCCAGCTGATGCACAGGAGCTCGCGATAGCTCGCAGGTCTTCAGAAAGGACTGTCGGTCGGCAACCTCTCGGGTTGTGTCAGGCACGTCTGCCCAACCTCATTGGACAGTCTCACTTGGAGTGTGATTCGTTGCGTGGCGACAGCATTGTTTGCGTGTGCTGATGTATGCCGCTGCGATGGGTAAACTGCCAGGATTGCTATTGATATTGCTTGACGCCATTTAGACTTGGACTAAGCAAGAGTACTTCAAAAAGAGCACCGGATCATGAATTGTAGCGTCGCCTGTAGGGAGCATTCGCCCACTGAGGCTCTTCGTGTGAGTCTGAGTGTCATTCGCCAAGTGAAGCTCCGTTCTGTGTGTCATTCGTGGCCTTCGTGTGAAGGCAGCGGTTCACAGCCGCACATGAAATTTTGGTACCCTTTTGCAGTCAGATGGGCCCAACACACGGAGACCTATGACCCATGGACACCTCATCGAGCTTTTCAGCTGTAAGCCCCGTTGACTGCACCGGGCGCACCGTTCTCAAAGCCTGATGACATCTGCGTGCCTTTTTAAAGATGCCGTGCTTCGCCGCTGCGAAACTTGTTGAGCAATCAAAGTAATAATAGTAATAGTAATAGTAATGATAATAGTAATAGTAATATAAGCCTTAAACTCCCAAACCCCCAAAACCTGATCGCTGCAGCGGAGGAGCAGTTGCACAGTTGTGAAAGCTGGCGGTTGCGCAAAGCTTAACGCTATATGCTGCCAGCTTTCTAGACCAGAGCTGCAAAAAGACACGGCCGAAAACATCAAAGCGCATAAAGGCCCTGCTCTTCTGACAGATACCTAAAACCCAAAAGTATGTAAAATAATAGCCCTAAAACCCAATAATAGCCATAAAGGCCATTATTTTACATACTTTTGGGGTCCAGGTAGATCTTAGCCAGTCAGTCCAAAACACCAGGCTTGGGACTTGGGAGTCCAATCCTGCAGCCATGGCTTCAGTGAAGCGGAGTCTGAGATCACTTAACTGGGTTGCTGTTAAGG